TGGGCCCGGCGGAGCCGGTCCAGAGCGGTGCAGGGTGCCGGGGGCCTGCGCCCTCCCAGGCGCTGGGCAGCACGCTGGAAAGCGAGGAAGCTGCTCAAGGGCCAGAGGCGTCCTGGGGACGGCAACCCAGCAAAAGCGCAGTCAACATCTGAGACGTAACTGCAGTGTTGTTAATGCTGCTTAGTCAAAAAATAATTGTCTGGGCTCAGTACACACCACACTGATTTCATGGTAGAGGCACGTGCAATGTGTTAAGCAGACGTTTTATTTAGCCGTCTTAATCCCTGTCCCCTTAAGACCTTCAAAGGGAATCTGTTTTTATTTTTAAAAGTCTTAGCCCTATAACATAAAAACGGGATTATCAGAAGGTATTAAGTAAAAGGCTTCTCAATGTGCTTTTTTAAAATGTTACCTTTGCTTGTCATATATAGCATGTCTTAAGAATAGTACTGAAAACGTCCAGAATGTTTCAAGACTACTAAGTACCCTGCTGCAGCTGAAATGTCAGAAATGTCACCAGAAGATCTCACTAACAGAAACTTTAAGAAAGTTGGCATGTCTTTAATAGCATATATATTTAAACTGATTGCCTTTGACTAATGTGAAACAACCAGTATGTCACCTCTAAGAAAGCTAAATCCAGTTGCAAGAGATGCCTTCAAGATTACCACACAGGAAGCAGATGAAATAACCCATAGCTCCCTGGAAGTTGCACTAGGTCTGAAAACCACAACTGACCTAGGCACCATAATTACCACCAGGAGTCTAACAACTTGCTTTAATTTTTTCATAAGCTGTAGTAGCACAGGAATAGACATGGGAGAAATGCACTAGGGTTGTTTTTTTTTTTTTTTCCCCCGACTCAATGTCCTAATACATGCATGACTGACACATTTATGAGCTTAATCACAGCCGCTAGGATGTAACGCAACTCCAAAGCGAGGGGCAAAAAAAAAAACAACCAACCAAACAAAAAACCTGCATTACTCTTCTTCCACCTCTTCACCTCGATTCACGAACTTGACACAGAGCAGAAAGGGGACAGTGCTAGCTTTCACCTGTCTTTGATCTTCCAGAATCTTGAATGACTTTGAAGAGCACTATAAGGAATAGATACTTTACTGAACAACTTTCAAATTAATTTACTTGCCGTTCCTAAAAGCTGAGAATATCTTTGTGTATAGTTTTGCTCTTACCTCAGAAACGTTGGGTTCCACCCTCAAAATCCATTATTGCGCTACAGCAAGCCTCAAACAAAAAATAATTTCATAAGAAAGTGGTGTCAGCACCAATTCTGATGAAAGTCTTTTGAGAAAGCAACGCACTGCGCTTCTACTCGTGACCATGCTGTTATTGTCGCAGCGTCCTCAGTAGGGCCAGCCAGCCAGCTCCTACTTTCATCTAGTTGGATGATTTTCACCACAAAAACACAGCAGTCATCAATAAAAAAAGCAGATGTTTTCTATCATCTCCATCCCCACCGCCAGATTCATTGATCTCCCAGGTGGTCTTTCAAATGCCAGTTCCCAAATGAGACTACAGCTCCAGCTTTTCTCCTGACCCAGTGGACCCACACAGGTCTCCCTCCCTTGCGTAAGTGCTCTTCTGCACCTGGGGTGGGGAGGGGGAAGGGCAGAGTGGGTCTCCCAGGACATCCTCGCTGTCCAGGAAGAGCATCAGTTCGGGCTTGTGCCCTAGAGCAGAGAACGCAAGAACATCAGGCTCTGCCAGGCCGCTCAGTGCTCTCCTGTGTGAACAGCCAGGCCATGAAGCACGATGCAAATCCAAAAAACAGGTGCATGTGTGTGCATACATGTATGTGTATAAATATAAATACAACATTTGTTAAAACTCCTAGTCCTAATACAGGACTAGGATACAGCGCTATCAGTAGCTCAGAGTGTGGAAACCCAGTCAGGCAAGTCTGTTCTTCACTTCCCACACGTTACCTGAACTAATAGAAAACCAGTTGTTTCCTATATGCTTCTACATATCATGCAGATAGTGCTGCAAGGTAGAGGCACTGTTCATACACTGACATTCTCACACACAGTTTGCAGCAAGGCAAAAACTTGCTCACCCCTTCATCACCCCTTCATCACATGGAAAAACATAATAAATGCATCTAAAAATGTTTTTCCCTTATGCTATCAACAAAAAGACAAAGCCGGATGGAAGTGAAAAAATGATCTGATTAGCTACACACTTAGGTACACACAAAAGTAATTTAATATTTAACATTTATCTAAATTTCTTAAAAAAAAATGATATTTCACTAAAATGCTAATAGTGCACTCCTGAATAGGTATTTTCCACTAAAGAAAAAATATAAACTGCATATGATACTTGCGTACCCATGTGTTTAAGAAAGCAAAAGCTAGATGAATGGCAGTTCATCTTAAATGTTTTTTCCTAGAATGATATTTAATCCATAGAGGGGCATGCCTGCTAATTCAGAAAAAGCTTGCCAAAAAAGGGGAGGGGCAGGCAAATAACCTTTTGAAGCACCTGAGCGTGCTAAAACAGCAAGGCCAAATGTACTAGGTACAGTACACTGACGAAAGGAAATGGATCTTCAGGACCACAATGTTTACAAAAATTAAGCTTTAACTCTTCAATCCCCTCCAGTATTTTTGGCATAACATTTGTATATGGTGCTTTTCCTTGAGAGATCTCAAAGCAGATAACGTATTTATCCTTTGTTAACTGCTTTGAATAGAAAGCAGACAGCTATGTGGTATTGCAGGGGCTGCGTTCACGGTCACTGTGATTCCCACTGTGGAGTCTGCACAATGAAGCATGCTTGTTTCCCGGGCAAGACGACATAGCACTAAGTCTCACCAATGATTCTACAGAAACCCAATTCAAAGCCTTCTCCAGTCAAAAATGAAAAATGTTTTTCTCCACCTGCAATGTCTCAAAACTCTGATTTATATAACAGACTTGAGTTTGTTACAGATATTTGAAAAATTACAGACGAAAACATTTTAAAAAGAATAATCACCGAATGCAAAATTGGATGTTAAGAAGGAAAGAAACAGATCATGAAAAAAGTACTGCAAAGCACTAAAAATTCCATTACTGTAAGTATTTGCTACGATTTCAACTTGAGTTAAACTAACCTGACATGCCACTGAAGACTCATTTGCTTAGGCCTAAACACACTGCAATAACCTATTAGGTAAAGCAGTGCTTCTACCCTGATTTTAGAGAAGGGGAGTGGGAAGATAGACAAACTAGTAACTGGAGTCCCAGAAGGCGAAGAATATCTCAGCCATTAGACTATACAGTTGAAAGGAGGCAGCAACTTAAAACTGCTGCACCCACTTCAAATTTGACTGCAAGGAATTCATTTATAGCATGATCCCTTGGTTAAAATTCACTGCAGGTGAGCATCATGCAAAAACACTGCCATCAGCTGAACAGT